ACTAAATTACATATGGAAATAAAGTTAGTAATTTAAACATTCAAACATTTAAAAAGTAATTACCACAACAAAAAGTTGATGAAATGAAAATACTGGCCTCCGTTAATCTGGAAATTTCACCCAATGGAATTCTAGTAGGGAAAGTTAAGAGACGGTCACTAGTAATCTCGAGCAATATAGTAGAGGAGATCTGTGAGAAAGCCTAACTTGCTCCAGGCATAACATTGAGGCTGTGAAGGGAAGTTGAGATTTAAGTTTGGGAACACAATGATACACACACACACACTTACAATACAAATGCTTGATTAATATAAAACAACGATAAGTTTTTACCTGTCAGTGAAACTCCTGACCTCTGAAAAATCTAGATTGAAATAAACTCTTGTGACATAAAAGGCATTAGATATGTGTCCATAACCTTGAACCAAAATTGAAATTGAAGCGTAAGTCTCATAAAAAAAAACATGAATCAGTGAGATACTGCTAACAATATACAAATACTTTTTTTTCTTTGCAATCTTAGCAAACCGTATGACAACTATGGTGGGGACTTCTAAATCATCTGTCCTGGCATCAAATGCTTTTTTTGCGACCTTCCCAAAAAGAGATACATTTACCCAGATTTCACTGCAAATAAACGAGAATAAGATAAAAATATGTCAAATTGACGTCCAATCATCTATTTTTATCCTTACTTGTTGGAGGTCCTAGATGAGAAAAAAAGTATGTTACTTTTGATCAGCAATGGTGAGAGCTAATTTCTTTGTTATTCCAGAATCATTTTTATGATCAACCAAGTTCCCAAATGCTTGTAGAAATCCAATAATATCTGCGTGAACTTGTTGAATCGGTAAGAAGAAGCTAAAATAGATATAATGTCACTCAAAACATAAACATGCATTAGATACAATCAACAAAAACAATATAGGAAAGGAATGCTAACCAACTAATTCATTGTTTTTGGCATTGTTGTTGGCAATGTCCTTGATTGGAACAAAGTTAAATGCATACAGGGGGATTGTCAAATCATGCTCTTAAAAAAATGTCATTGCATGGAACATAATTTTGCAAGGATGGTCATAAGTTTTGTAATTGTCGTTATCATTGTTCACAACTTCGAAGTTCTCAAATTGATAAACCCCACCCTCTACAAAATCTTTGACATATCTTTGTATATGTCCTTTATGAGCAACCGAAGCTTCAATCCTATCATCACTCTAGTTGCATAGAATACAATGAAATGAGTTCATTGCAGATATTTTTTTTCAATGAACAAAACAATATTATTACTTACAAACATCGGACAAAATCATACTAACTTTCTAGACATCAAAGGGTGGGGACTTCTTAGCTACTCTCCACTTCCTTAGCACTCTAACAATAATGCACCACGTTTCTTTGCTACAATCTACATCCTTGATCAGATCATGAGGGAAGTTCACCATTTGCTTTGACATCGAATTATGAAGCTGTGTGAGAGTGGGTTAATTAAGAGAAATGTAGACAAATAACGTGAAAAGAATGAGTTAATTATGGGGAGCGTTGTAAATAACGTGAAAAGAATGAGTTAATTATGGGGAGCATTGTAAATAACGTGAAAGAAATGGTGGGGAGCATTGCTCTTTTTATCATGTTATAGTCTTCACAATGGAAATTAATTAGTCAAAAAGATGATGTAATTAATATCGTGCACGCCAAAGGAATCAATGGGTTAATTAGAGAAATTTTTATTTGAAAATCATATGAGAATCAATTTACTTCATTACCTTGATTTTAATTTAAAATTTTCCTTAATGTTCTCTAATCCATATGATTTGAATGGAAATGGGGATTCTAATTTCTCTATTTGATTGTCCAATTGAATTCTCATTTAATTATAATTATAATTATAATGCACCTTATTTAATTTAATATGTACAAATCTCATATAATTAAATATTTTTGGATGGACGTTGAAATCATCATTTAATTTAAGTCAATCATTAGGACGGGTGCCATCATTCCTTATTGAATTAATTTATAATCAAACTGTCCTTATTATTGACAAAATATAATTTTTTTGAAGGAACGTGTTATTTTTCAAATGTTATTTTGAATGTTATTATTACAACTAATATAATTTTCAAAATCCATTTTCAATCTAATATAATTAATATATGCCATAAAAGATATTATTGTATTAATATCCCAATCAATAAATTTGGAAATCCATTTGAAACATAATCATTTTATTAACTTGAATTTGATTGGTTAATTCTCTAATAATAATTTCTCATTAATACATTTAAATAACACGTTCTTTCAAAATAATATATTTTGAATTGTAATATGATTTTATTAATAATACACCAAGCAAAATACATTGATTGTGAAATTCGATCCGACCTGACTGAATATCTGGGTATTACAAGATTTCTAGTATATAGTTGATAGTTGATAGTTGATGATTGATGATTGATAGTTAATAGTTGATAATAGTTGATGATTGATGATATTAAATTTGTTACAAAATTTAAATAATTTTTCATACTATTCTTATTAAATATACTAAAATCTAACATTATACGAATTTTTGTCCTCTTTGACTATCCTTATTAAATATGAACCTGTATGATAAAAAAATATTTAACAGTTCTCAAAACTACCAAACCAAATACCCTATATAAGAAGAACCAATAGCACACTTTTTAGAATGTGATTTATAATAGGAACAAGATGGATTATATTGCATTCAATTGTTGCCATAAAACTGTGAAATGGCTCTTTTACAACTAGCTTGAAAAAGAATCTCCCTTTCCTCATTGTTTATTGTTTTAATTACCATGATAGGATGATCAATACACAAAGCACTGTTAGCAGCACCATGAGCAACAACACAAGACCTCCTCCACAACCATCTTCTTGTTTCCATCCAAGTCTTTCCGTCTGGCCCTAAAGCCCCGGAATTTAAGTCCTCACATTTGATCCTGTATATGTTACTACTTCTCTCAATTTTGTCCTGTTTGATCTTATTTACTAGCTACCTAATTATATTAGACTTAATTAAACCTTAACCCAAATTCATTCTCAAGTTATATGTCCCAATTCCAAGCTATAGGAACGATAATTTGGATGTTATAGTTTGTGGAGGGCGCAAGTGGAGACTTGGGCCATGGAAGGATATCTACATATTATTATGGAGATTTGAGTCTTAGAAGACAAATAAAAGTTTGAAGAGGCCGAAGCTAGTCATGCTCCGATTGACACAGTATGGGAAGAAGGAAGATGATGAAGAAGAAGGAAGCATCAAATTTATGTGAGGAAGGAAGAGGCGTCGTAGAGAGAAAGAGAGAGTGATTTTAGGGCCAATGGAGATTCATAGGGAGATGATATTTTGTGGTCATTAGTGAAGGGTTGACAGTTACTGTCTTTGTGGGTTATTATGGCATTTTTAACTGACAAACACATCCAAATATGCTACTTCTAGCTCTTAATCTAAAAGCTACATGAGGATTAAAATTGATCATAAATATAATATCTCAATATATTTTGTTTTTTAAATATTTGATTTTTCTCAAAAAAAATATTCCTATTGATAGTATAGGTTCTTATTAAGAATATAATTCCAATTTACGTGATTAAACAGGATAGTTTAGGTCATTTCAATCTTCTAGCCATTGGCAAATACACTCTCTGATGATCCTATTAAGTTTAACGAGGCATCTACCAAAGAGAAAACAATAGAGAATCATTTGGACAGAGAAAGAGAGAAGAAGGATAGATCAAATGGTATAAAACTCTCCTAAAAGGGGATAGAGCGACCAAATAAAAAAAAAAAAAACACCCAATGAAATCATCGAACAATGTCTTTTCATTAGCAATATACTCCCTCCGTTCCTTATTATAAGAGACAAATAACCGAAGTACGTTGATCAAAAAAACAGTTAAAATTAGTTAAGAACAATTAATGTGTAAAAAGTATAACTTTTTTCCAAAAATGCCCTCATTAATAAGGAGAGAGAGCATGAGAGAGAATAATTAAATTATTAAAAGAAAGAGAAGTGGGAGGGAGAGAGTGTGAGTTGAAGATAATAAATATGGGTAAAATAGTAAATCAACACAAAAAGTAGAGACAACTTGTAAGTGTCTCTTATATATAGGAACATGCCATAAGCATCAAATGTCTCTTATAATAAGGAACGGAGGGAGTATCATCAAAGATTAATACAGCGAGGTCTTGCAGTTCAGGGAATCGAGAAGAAGTTGTTGTTGTTGCCAATAAATTTTGCCCCGATTATTTTTTCTGAGCCATATATAATATTGCTCCAGTCATAAATATAATACGCCTCCGGTTTTTAATATAGGACTCAATTATTGAGTTAGTTTTGGTTCTAAATATAAGATCTATTTTTCAGATTTATCAAGTTTCTCTAAATTATCCCTATAAATACTTCTTCAACTATAATTAAGTAGAAAAAGAAGATGGGGTATTAAGAAAGATGATTATGATATTTTAGAAAAAAACATGTCACATTTCTTCTATTTAACTAACTTACCTAACTCCCTTAATTTAATCAAATTAGTTAAATGAATCTTATATTAAAGACTGGAAGAGTATCTATTTTGTAACGTAAATTACACTACAAAATGGGTCTTATATTTAGAATTAAAGGGAGAATATGCAATTGAGCTAAACCAATTAGGTTGCTCCGACTGAAACTTGGGGGAATAATAATGCGCACACAATGAGATTGCTGGATCACAAAGTTTTCATTCATTAGTGTCCGCCATTGAACGTGTCTATATATGCAGAAGGCTCCTTCCTCAATCAAATCCTTTCGAAGTCCTAAGTCGGATATCACTTCCCCTGATCCTGACACGTGTCCTCAAACGTGTCATGAAGCTGCACACGTGTCTGTCACACATCAACCATGAAATACTATAAATACACCCCGCAACACACCTTAACCCTCCCCACAGACACAGCCAATCCTTCTTGATCTTGATCACTCAGGACAGAGACTTCCCAACCTCAGACAGACACAAAGGTATTCCAACCTCTCAAGCGCACACAAAAATGTCGTCCCATGAACAGAGCTTCAGAGCTGGTGAAACCAAAGGCCGAACTCAGGTAATGAATCCATCTACCTCTGCTTCTCTAATTAAGTTTTGGGGAAAAGTTATAAAATTTTGAAGACAAAAATTAGCTTCACTGGTTTTTATGTTTAAGATCACAGCAAGACAGCAAGACTCACTTGTGTGTGTTGGTGGCACAGGAAAAGGCAAACCAGGCGATGGGCACCATTGGGGAGAAAGCCCAGGAGGTGAAGGAGAAGGCCCAGAACGCGGCCCAAGGTGTTAGGGAGAGGGCCCGAGAGAAGGGTGGGGCAACAAATGACAGGGCATGGGAGATGGGCCAGTCCACGAGGGAGTCGGCCCAGTCAGGAAAGGACAATAGCGAAGGGTTCATGCAGCAGGCAGGGGAGAGGGTGAAGGGCATGGCACAGAGTGCCACTGACTCTGTGAAGAATACATTCGGTATGGCCCGCCATGATGAAGATGACGACTACCCTCCCCACCCTCCCACAACTTACTAGAAGACTCTCTTCTTCTTAATGTTGTGAATGTGAAGTCATTTCCTCATATGTAATGTCGTGATGTTTTCTCAAATTTCAGTCTCAACTATGTTGTGATGTCGTGTCTCATGATCAGTGTGTAGTGTCAGTTTGTGTTTCCTTGGGCATTATTTTGTCCTCAATAATATCAGAGATGTGATAATATATATAGACTTGCGTGCAGAAGGATAAACAAACAAGCAAAAAATGACAAGACCAAGTGACAGTGAAACTGATTTTCTACTTTATTCATAGTGCAGAACGTGTCAGATTTGCAGGACTGATATGGTGGGTGTATAAGCCAGATCAACGTTACTTTTCTATTCTCTCAATCAAACAATCCAAACATACCAAAAATCCTAAACTCAGATAAACAAATTTACCAAAAGTCCACGGATACAATTCTGCAGAGAAGGGAAAAAAAATTCTGCAGAGAAGGGGAAATTGCCTTGGCAGAAATCCTGCGAAGTTGTTTTAACTTCTAATTTAAGCAATGATAACATAGAATGCTAAGCCTAGCGAATTCTTCAATGTGTGTGATCCAATCTAGTCATAATAGTCTGAATTGCAAACTGAAGTTCTCGTGGTAACGCTATTTTAGAGAGTGTTTAGCATTCTCAAAACCGTGGTTTTAGAAGTACTTTTCCGCAAAACGAGATAACCTCTTCCAAATATTTATTTCGTAAAAACACTTTTGAAATCATGGTTTAACTAAGATGGAAAAGTGCTCTAATCTTTAACTAAGATCTGGGAGGATAATTTAGTTAATTGGGCTAAACTCAAGGCCACTTTAACTCTATGCTCACCAGATAGAGACAAAAATAAAAGGTCCGCATTAACATAGCATGTATTACAACGTGTTTATTAATTTTACAGTGTCCTGATAATCAATACATATTATGCTATACCTCATCATGTATTGTCAATGCCAAAGAATTCCCAAAGCCAATATATAAATTTAGTTAAAGACTGAAAAAAGTAAGTAAAAGAAGGACAGTTTGATAAGCCAGAAACTTTATTTACTCCCACCATTCAGAGTAAACCTCATAGATAAGCAGGCCAAGCCTCTGTATTGTTACAATAATCAAAACTTAAAAGGCAAAAAAAAAAAAAAGAACGCTCTAATAGTACAACTAGCTGAGTCTCTAGGGGTAATTCAATAAAATATGATATAATAGAGTAATACGCCAAAAAGCACATTCAGAAAATTAAATCTCCTATACCCTATTTACCCATGAACCCTTCACTGACGAATCTACCTACTCGCTTATCATGTGCCTCTGTCTCTCCTCCTTTTCTTCCTCCATACCCCCATTGATACTGATCATCCCATTTATGGGGTTCCATCAAGCCCAAGCCTTGAGCTAAGCAAATTACAGACCTCATCCATCTCTCTGGGAACTGTGTAATGACCAATACTGCACAGAAGCCAAACCAAAAGGTGAGACCATGGTTTTTAATTGATCAGTTTAAATTCTGATGACTCCTGCTAAAAGAAAACAAGTTACCCATCATAGCACTTGAATGTAATGTACTGAAATCCGGCTGAAATTAGGGTTTGAGCTGATTTCTCTCCATGTTTGTACAGGACTACGTCGTCATCTACAAAAGTTAATTCAAGTCAGGCTTAGTGAATTAACAATTTTACTGCTGCTGTAATAAACATGACTCTGATGGAAAACAAAGGGTGACTTCTGCACAATAGTCATGCAGATACATACTGTTTCCATGGCACAGCAAAATGGGTAATGAAGCAGCTCGCCTTCTGGCTTCATGTGACACTTCAATCCTGTTCCTTAGGCTCCTACATAATAACTCACCGTTTAGAAAATGATGGTTGCAAAAATGAACCCAAAAGAGCATACAATTTAAATGCTATCATACCTTGATCCTGGAAGCCAGCCGCTTAGTCCAACAACTGCTCTGATGTTAACAGGATATGGGATGCCATTTGAATACCTACCCATAGCAAAACAAGTAGCAGAATATATGGCTGTTGCTGCACCCATGCTGAAGCCTCCAATCCCAACTTTCACTGACACAAAAAACTGATGTCAATACTGAAGCTAGAAGAGGAAGACTGAAAGGTTATATAACTTAATCTGTATAGTTTGATCATTTTTTTTCCCACTCCTATTTCTTTACCCAGAAATATGGTCATAGATAAAGTAATATATATTTGAAAATGTAAAACTATTGAAGTAGGTGATACTGATAAGTAATGATCCCAGAAAGTACCATCAGCTGGCTCCGTTGACAACAAGTTGGCAATATGTGCAGCTGAGGCATCTAATCCTTCCCAATCATCTGGACTTTCCTCTGAGAGTTCTCCAACATCAAACCCTGATTGATTAATATTAAATTTACAGATTTGATCATTTCACCATTGGTAAAGTACTAGTTACATAGTTCTGATTTAATCAACATGAGCAGGGAGATAAGAAGGGTTTGGTGTTACATGCAGTGCAAGGAAAACCCCCAAGTACTGCCACAGGACGTGTTGGAGCGGTAGGGCAAATCCATTTTACCTGCATAATATCAGATCATAAGGAAGAAAATATGATAGCATCTCAGATTTATCAAAAGTATTATTTGGCAGGAGATGAGAATACGTGTGGAGAACAGCACGTTAGATAAGCTCAAACTAGGATAAGGCATAGGAGTTCTTACATTTGGGAGTCGAAGGGATTCCACGAGTTGAGATGAGCTGCAAAGAAACAAAGCAGAAAATCAGAACCTCTGGGTAGTTGCAAAACTTGAGTCGTCTAATAAGGCACCCAACAAAATCATCATTATTCGCAGCAGGAGAAGAGGCAATTTTAGCTCTTCTGGATGTCTCATATGGCATGCTAAAAGAATATATTTCTAAAGAAGACAGCCAGCGTCGAACCACAAGTTTGCTAGTTAAAGTTGTCCAGCATAACTAAACCATGCATTAAAATGTTCAAATTCAAGCTGTTATTTTTTATCACAGTAGATTAAGAGAATAATTCTGGAATGTAATAGGGTGCTGAGGTTCTTCGGTAAAAAGTCATGCCCAGTTGCTCAATGGGGTGGGGAAGCATATGAGCATGTGGTCCCCAACTGAGAACTTAGCATATACTCTCAGAAGTCGAACACCAGCAATTAAAACTAGATTATATATACCAGTTCGCAATATATACCACAACTTTCTCATACAGAATTTGTTCCATCTAGAATCCGAGCAGGAAGAGACAAAACATTCAACATAAGAAAACCCAAATTTGGAACCTGTCAAAATTTTTCACGTTCTTCTCACAAAAGTTTTATCATTCATGTACGAGTCACGTACTTGATGCAAAGGGGCAGTACACAACAAGAACGGGAATATAATCAACCTTTTTTATTGGAAGAGAAGAAGTGAGTGCTAGATACAGAGTATAAAATTATTTTCATCTCTAACCGAATATTACTAATTGAATTTACTTAGCTCAAAGCTGTTAACTTCCTGATCCCTCATACTGTGGTGAACATAAATAGAAAGGATGACATGTTAAAGAATACAACAAAAAAAGGAACTAAAGATTGAAAAACAAAGATGGTGGGAGAAGTTAATGAAGAGATCCTCAGGAGTACAAATAGGGCAATAAACAACGTTAAAGAAGATGAATGGCTGGTAGTTATGACAATGTGAGGAAGACATATAACAAAAGTGAGCACGCATAATCCATACCTCAAACCATTATCACCAAGACCATGCAGCCAAACAATAGTAGCTTGGTGTTTTCCTCTGGGCCTCACCACATGGGTCTTCCCAAACTCAAAACTTCTTCTAGCAGTTCTACTACCTGCAATTTTGAAGGCAGAAAAACTAAGACCCAGCGACTTATGTGAACTTTGAAGATAGCTCGTAGAGTTTGAAAGGGAAACTATAAAGATGATCCTGTATACGGCTCACAGAAACAGAGGAAAAACTTTAAAAAAATGACTTATCTAATACAGTACATGGCACAAACAGTTAGAAGACAAGAAAGTAAAGAACAAACCGGAGCCCATTTGAGAATGTGCATAGCTCATTTTGCCTCTTGCAAAGAGTTGGAAGCACCCCGGCTAGCTAATGCAATGTTGCAGTGAAGAAGATGCAGAATGGCGATGTCCCTTTATACAGAACGTGTGAATATGGAAGCTGTGTGTATAGATACTGCACCTAAAACCGCCTAGAAGAGCATCTGTGAAAAGGAGAGGTAAAGATAGAGACAAAAGCAGAAAGCCTTTATAAGAGAATCCTAGCAGAGAGAGCACATTCATCCGCCCATGAGCTTCCCAACTAGGAGAGAGGTCTCTCCCTCCCTCTCTCTCTCTCTCTCTATATCTATCTATCTATCTATCTATCTCTGAGTACTCGCACAAAGAGAGGAATCTATGCCGAGGGCAGTGGCCAGAACATAAAGCAAATCCCAGCAACAGCTACCGAGAATATTACTGAAAACAAGAAAGAAAAGCCTCAGCTTGCAATAAAAGAAAAATAGTTATGCATATATTTTTCCTAGCTACAATCATTTTATACATTTCTGCATGATTGATGGATGCCCATTAACCTCAAACATTAAAAAAAAAAAAAGTTTTAAATTTTGAGGACAAAAGGAAATTCCAGAACAAAATAAATAAAACTTGTGACTGTTGGAAAGCGAAAGTAAGCTTCTTCTAGGAATTTCCTCCTGATTTCCGTAGTTTGATAAATGGTATAACAATTAAGCTCTCTCATTAAACTGGATTTCCATTTTAGAATTGACAAGAAGAAAGCGTATAAGCTTTTCACACTAACTTTACTCTCTCTTGCTTTCTTGCTTGCCACTTAACTCATTGTTCAAACCCCACTATGAGAAAAGTTTTGTTTGTTCATACTGGAGACTCAAGAGAAACTACATATAAGTACAAATGCTAGACCTCCTCCTAAACGTAGTGACAAAATAAAAAAAGAAAACTTCAAACCCAATACTTGAAAAACATAACGGCTAAATATTATTACTTTTTCATATAGATAATTTTATTTTGGAATCTTAAGAAGCATAAAAAGAGTTCATTATTTATCAAATCAGTATTATAATTTATTAGCAGATAGCTGCACGCCTTTTCTCATGTCTGCTCTAGATATGGCTTTAGTGGACTCCAACTAGAATATATCCCACTACTGCCCATCTTTTCTCTTTGATTTTGATTTATATAAATTTCCCTATTTTAGCGTCCCCAAGTTGTGCAGATATTTGCTGCTTTGATTCTCGCAGTAACGGCCATTCTCTAATTTCTATGACAAAAGTGAAAAAGGCCTACATATCCCACGTAGCCTAAAGAAGATAAAATTTTAAAGAATCTACAGAATTTTTTTTTTTTATTGTAAAAGCTTATAAATTCAGAAGAGATAATAATATAAAAAAGTGAAAGCATATCATTTCCTCTCTTTACTTATTTAATTGGGTTAAGCTACAAATTTTGTTCCGGAAGTTTTCACTTAAGAGTTTTGGATATCAAAAAGTTTCTTTTTAGAGCAAATTTGTGTTGAAAGTTTAAAATCATAACATTATTACCGTTGTTGTTAAAAATGTCAATGGTCAATATTAGTTTTTTTATAGTAGCGAGCAATATTGTTATAATTTTAAACTTTTGACAAAAATTAACTCTAAAAAAAACTTCTGGATATCCAAAATTTCTAAGTGAAAGCTCCCGAACAAATTTACCATTCTATTCCTTACTATAGGTCACTTGTACCCTAAAAGTTTGTTTCAAAATATAAGTCAGTTGTAGTATAATTAATAATTTTTCCAATTTTATCCCTATTAATTTAATAAACATTATTAATTTAAGTCTGAAGTAATGGCTCCTCGCAACATGTCCTTCTCCCTCTCCCTTTCTATCTCTTTCTTTTAACTTTTCATTTCCTATGCAGTCCATCCCCTCCCTCCCTCTCTCTCTTAACTTTTAATAAAGGTAAATGTGGAAAAAAAAAACTAGTTAATTTAATGTATTTCTTGATTTGCGGGTTTGAGATACACGTAACTTATAATAAGAAATAGAGTGGTACACCTTAATTCTATTAAATTACAAGTTACCCAAAAAAAAAAAAAAGAACAGCTTCAGATAATTCAAAATCACTAAAATAAAGGGAACGAGTCCATTCATTGTACGCCGCTATGCATCAGCTGAACTATTTATTGCAGATTGCTTGGAAACTTCAAAATGGTTTATATGCTTTGTCTTTTTCCCCCTTCTTATGGATGATAAATATATATATGTATATATACTTATATAAGCTTTTGGAAACATTGTTCACAAAGCCATGAATAATATACATAAACTTCATATATCTAGTTGCAAAAATTATTTCAGTTTCAGTTAGTTGAAGCTCTCATTAGCCAGTGCTTTTTTCTTAGTTTTGCAGCATTACTTCTGCAGTTGCATAGTTGCAATTTAGGGTTTCTCCCCCCTGTTAGGTGATTAAGGAATGATCAAACATAAGACTCTGACATGAGAAAGGTCCCATTTGAAGTAAAGTGAAAAACATTGATTCTCAAGTAATTTACTTTCTTCTGATTATTCTCTCAAATGACATGCTTTAATAATGCTGCGTTTGAAACCTAAAAGCAATGCCATGATTATTCTAAGAGGCCCTATTTGGAAACCAGAGAAAAGCATGATGTTTTGAAGCTTTTGATGATTAGATGAAATCTCAATAGTGCAAACTCTTTGATATCAAAACATAGATTAATGTGAGAATAGCATTAAAAAAATGGGAAAGCTGAAAAAGGATGGTTCTTTTAAGGGTGGAGATTTTTGGGAGATTTCAATATCTTAGGATGGAGATCTGCTTGCATAAAAAGATGAAAGAATTTAGGGTTTGGTTTGGTTTTATAATACGACAGTGCCAGGAAACAAAACAAAAGCAGCATGAACATTATTATTATACAGTTGACTTAAACTTGAGACATGCAGGTGACGTGGCAACTTTTGATTGGTTGACCAGTCAACTAGTGGTTAAGCATCTAATATGAGGTCAAAAATTTAGGGCAGTAAAGCAGAAGTTAAGGCAACTTTTTGGTTTTTGTCAACTGCTTTGATGCTTAACAATCAATATGTGTGGAGAAAGAGAGGGGGAAAAAAACATACATATACATACATGTATACATATACATATATACGTACATATATATATATATATAGGTCCAAGCCACACCATTGCATCGGGACAAATGGGTGCGTCTATTTATGAGCAGACAAGATATGCTTTTAGCACTATATATATTTCCCTCTTTTTGGAATAAAATGATAAATTTATAGTTAAGTGGATATTAGTTGAGAGAAATAAATTAAACAAGTGAATTATATGTCACATCGAGTGTTTTAAAATGTTTTAAGGTAAAGTAAGCAAATATATTTATGATTATAAGAAGAAGAATTACTATAAGGTTTTAAAAAAGAAAATAATTATTAAAAAATTTCAATAACTTAGAAGCTAAAATTTTTTGTTTTTTCCTGCTTTAGTATTTGTTATTACAAACTGTTAAATTGTTATCATATTTTTTTGTAAATATATTTTCTTATGGGATCTTGCTATAATTCTTCCTATATTAAGCAACTTTTCACATTAAAGTAAGGATTTGTGCCTAATTCATGAAAAGTTTGAAACTCTCAATATGGCTATCAAACTATTATTAATATATGGCTTAATATCATTTTCAGTGACTAAAATTCAATCTTGTTTTGTTTTTATCCCTAAAACTCAAAGTTACCAATTTTGATTTCTAGAATCTGACCTCATTTTGATCCGTCTAAAAAATTTTTATCGCTAAAATAATTTAGTTCCTGAATATGATATTAGTTAAAAGATCAAAACCAAAATGAGTTCAGATTTTAAAAACTAAAAATGATATTAACTCTTAATATATTAATATAACACATAAAAATAAAATAATTGTCACTGTTTATTTATCAGTTATTTATTATTCTTATCCCTTAAGTGTTTTTCCAACAGTTTGATCTTTATTTACTTAAATATGATAATGGCTTTTGTGGGAGATGAGTAAGGTGAGGTGCTCAAACTTTCAGTTTCTTGTTGTAACAAAAATTATTCATTTATATTTAAATAACCTCATACGGATGCAAATTTTTTATTGTAATCTTCAACTGTACATATATGTATAACATTAATGGAGAACCATGGAAGGCCAAAAGAAAACAAATATTTTACAACTGACGTTTGCATTAAGCTGTCATGCACACTAGAAATGATATTCTGTTCTCACTTTTCGTAATAAGAAAGGATTACAACTTCAACTTTCTTGGTAGGGAGTTTTTTTTTTTTTTTGGGTGAAACTTGGTAGGGAATTTAATTACTTTGCTTCTCACTCCCCAAACTTTTCTTGTCTTACACTAGTATATAATTAGACATTGTATTCTCGAATTATAGTCTTTTGATACTAAATACTACATCCGGTCTTAATTACAAAAGCTAGTTGTCTAATTTGAGGAGATTAATAAAATAAGTTAAGTTAGTCATTTATAATAAATATGTATTGTTTTTTCTAAAATATTCTTGCTAATCAAGTGTATTAGTTAGAACTATTATTATTAGAAGGACTACCTTGAGAAAAAATACATAAATATGAGAGACAAAGTGGATTAAAATTTTATATTTAGTATCAAAATAAAAATCAAATGAGATTTTATATTAGGAACCGAAAATAGTATATGAGTTAGTTAGAAAGTTGGTTATGATTTTGAATATAATGATTTAATTCAATTTTTATTCATATTTATTATTTTTTCAAACTAATTTATCTAACTTATATAACCTATTACGCAGTTAGGGTATTTTAAAAAAAAATCATGTTACATTTGTTAAAATTAAATAATTCATTTAGTTTTCTCAATTTATCAAGATTATCTAACTAACTCTTAGAGTTAACATGGCTATGGCTCCTAAAAAAAAAATACTTTTGTATTTTGTAAAACCAAATTTCTATAGCATGGTTACCATACACAACTTAAAATCACTTAGTTAAAATCACTTAATATATACTACCTCAAGTCCTTAATATAAGACTTTGTTTAACTTTTATTTTGGTTCTAAATATAAGACCCCAATGCACTTTATCTTTATATTTATGTATTTTTTTCTAACATAGGTTTTCTAACAATCATAGTTCTAGCCAATATACTTGATTAGTAAGGATATTTTAGAAAAGACAACACATATTTATTACAAATAACTAACTTAACTTCTTTTCTTAATCTCCTTAAATAGTCAACTAGCTCTTATAAATAGGATCGGAGGTAGTATTAAACTAAATAGTTTTAGGATATGAAATAAAACTCTTTTCTTATGTATAAAACAAGCAAAAGGAACAGAATTGGTTAATAGCTTTCGGATAGAAGAATCAGTTCCGTCCGCCTTCAGAAAACAAGTAATAACTTTAAAAATATTGAGATCATATTTGGATGGGACGCAGACCTACCCAAGTTTTAGTCACTTTGACAAGACAGATCTTAATAAGAGGGTAGAGTTATATTTTATTATATTTCCATCACCATATAAAATTCCCATGAGCTTCAAGTACAATGCTGAAATGAAGATCCCCACTTGAATGTGTAGAGCCTCTGGGGAGAAGAATCACACGATTCTAAAAATTCAAATTAATATTATTTACATTTTAAAATTTCTATTAAAGAAATAAGTTATAAATATGAGAACATCAGTTATAAATTAAACATTTAAATTTTATAATTTACTCATATTTATTTACAATTAAATTCTCATATTTATAATTTTTTTGAATAAATATATGAAATTTGTATTTAAATTTTTTTTTTTTGAAATATGACTATCATCAATTTACTAGTGATAGAAATCAAAGAAGAAAAACTGTGTCCCAATGATCACTTCCACAAGTTGTTGTTATTTCTACTTACTAAATATTAAAAAAAAAAAGAAAGAGAAATATTGTTAAGAAAGGTAATGTAACACTCCTATTTAATTTAACTTATTTGAAAAAAGTTATATTTTTTTATAACTTTAATTACATTTTGTGTTAATTAGTCTTGAAGTTGCACGTTGTATTACTAGACAACAATTATTGAACTTTATGAGCAACACAATAATTATCAAGACCTGCCTTCTTTTGAAGTAAAAGTAAGTAAAGAGAGGGGAAAAATAAATCATCCAATCATTATGCGTTGAGCCAGCCGCTATAAAAAGCAGAATTAACTTAATTATTGCTTAACAAAGTTTCAAAATTGCTTTGATGTTAGGTTTGATCTCTTTCTATCATTAAACATAACCTATTTAAACTCATCATTTAAAGTCAAACTCAAATGATGAACCACTTTGAACTCATATAGAGTGTACTTTACCACTCTCTAGGGGAAGTTTTTTTTATCATAAATATAATTATTTATAGGAAATTTAATGATTATTTTTTTAATTTTATTCTTATTTAATTTTTAATAGAAAGAGAGAAAAATGTGAAAATGATTTGTAAATGCAAAGAGAGTGAGAGAAAACATTAATAAGGATAAATTCCAAAATTTTTATCAATTTAATGTATTTTTTAATTTGCAAGAATATATTATAAGTGATTTGTGTTAAACATTGGATTGGTATGTTTCATATATCATCAAAATTCTAATAAAAAATTAATTTTTGCATTGTGGATGTTGCTTTTTTTTTTTTTTACATTAGTAAAGGGCTCAATATTTTACGAAGTGTCTGATATAAATTTCATTCTATGTATGATTTATAAATCATACAAATTTTTATAGTTTTTTAAAAGAAAAAATCTCATAAAAATACCTCTAAAATTTTAAAATCTCAAATCAGAGATGATTACAAAAATGTGTTCTTATTTACCTCTTAAATATTGTTAATTGTTATTAAAGTGTAGTGAACAAAACTGATTTAAAATTTTAAAATTTAAATATTTTTTTTGAGATTCTTTTTTTTTTTAAAACTGTTAGGGTGGATCTTTTATGGCAAAATAAAATAATGATATCATATAAAAACTAAGTTATTTCAAACTCTATGATTATTTTTTAAGAAGTGTTAAAAAGTTATAGCAACTCAAAACTCATATACATCAAAAAGCTATTATACAGAGATGCTTTTATTTATCTTCTTTTAAAAAAAATTAGTCCCTTACAATTTCTCTGGCAAATTCCGGTATTAACATGCGAGCTATCAATATTTCCAACTTAGAGCACTCACAGAGATAAATGATCCAGCGTTAAACATATTCTTAGTATCCACAGGGAGAAGGTTTTTTTATTCTATTTATAAATTAATTTATTAAATTTTTTATATGAATGTATCATTTTTTGTCTTAAATATAATATATGATTTGTAGTATAATTTATACTATAAAGTAAATTTTATATTTAGAACCGGATGTAGTATTACTTTATGTTTCATTTAATATTATATAGGTTACTACTTTTTGAAAAAATATATATATTAAATAAAGATAAAGTCAAAAAGTTATTAAATTTTAAATTAAAGTTAATAACATTTAAATTTTTTTAAAAAATTTCAGTTGGAAATGAGTTAGGAATTAATGGCGGATGGAAAACCAAGTGCTATATTCTCCTGTCCAATTTTTACAAAGATTTGATTTTATGTGACACTATTTATGACCACACCATTACATGTTGATAGTCTTCTTATTCTTAACCTTTAAAACTTAATAATAAACTTGGCCTTCTAAAGTTTTAGGTTTATGAAAATAATCCCAAACTATCCCAAGTTTTTGTTTGCATATAGCTCCTCAAATTTTGAATTATATGCAGATAAAAAATTTAAAACTTTAAGTCATTAGCATATGAATAATAAATAAAATTAATAATATAAGAATTATCTACATAAGTATGAAAACTCCAAGTATGACATAAAGTTCAAGAAATTTGGTACAACTTAGCTGAACTACTTAGGAGGATTCACACCAATATCATTAAAGTCTCTAGCTTTTTAGATTATTCTAATTAGATTTTAAAAATCTTTTAATCCCATTTTCCTCATCCGTACATTGAACTCAAAATTCAGTGAGTCAGTAATATTCTTCTCTTTTTTAATATTCTTTTCTTGGTGTGTAAACCTAAGCAAGAATATATATATATATAAGGAAAAGTAAACTAGTATTGAAGAAAATGATGGGATTGATGTAGAGGGAATATTGGTAGGTAAGGTGTTTCTATAGAAATTGGCGTAGTCTCTTTTCTAAATTTGCCTTTCTCTATTAATTCAATCTGAAAAGAGAGTGACAACTATCTTTTTTTCTCTTTGAATCTATTCTATTCTGATCCCATTTACTTGACTTAGATTTTATTAGAATCATATTGCATTTCTTGGGCTCAGAATATTTTATATATGTCATTTCAGCATATCTCAGTGCATTATTTTATTAACACTTCATTTTGTTCCTTTTTTGGAGAAAAGAATGTAGGGCGGTGAGGCTGGAGGCTTTTTTTTAATTCGTCCTTTGTATATGCTTTTTCTGGACACGAGGAGAAAATTAATGTCTTGCACTTGTATGCTTACCTTTTTTTTTAAAAAAAAATTCTATATATTTTCAAATGACATAAATTCCTTTTCGGTCCCATCAACTATTTAAGAAATTATTCAATTTATTTCCCCTCATTGAAATTAATTTTTTATACACATAAGATTGTAATTTTATGTTTTAAGATAGAACAAATCCATGTGAAATGATGCCAAAAAGAAGAAGTTAATATTCAATTATGTCTTTATTCTTGATATAATAAAATCTTTTGGAAAGAATGAAAATTTTGTTAAAGAATTATTTTAATAATTAAGACAATGTTTGCAAAAAGCCACCTGACTCTACCATCAAGCGCTTAGGTCGACTGTTATAGGGTCGTCATAACTTAACCAATGGGCCTTGAGTTCGAGCCTTGGGCCTGCAGCAGTGTTAAATACTTAGTGGTAGGCTAGTTGCCTTTGGGGTCCTACGACGGCCAAATCCAGATTAATCTAAACCCGTTGAGTTTTCTGTGACATAAAGGCTAACTTGGGATTATTATTTTTTTTTAAAAAAAAAAAGGGGCCACCCAGCTCTCACTGTGTTGGGCATCAAGGAAGAACAAGTGTCCTTTTTCCATAAAATAGCGTCTTCTCGATTCTCCTCCGCTGGTTTCCGATCGATTATACGGCCTCATATTGAGACCGGCCCAAAATATAGGACACTTGCTGAAAAAACATCGTTAGTCGATAATATAACGTACTTCGAAACTACCAACTAGGGTTGGTCCAAGTGATAAGCGGCTTGGTACCGTTTAAGCGAGGTCTCGAGTTCGAGCTTCAGCATATGCAGAAATCTCCGTTGGGAGACTCACCCACCACAGCCAGGTGCGCGATGCAGGTTGGATCCAGATGTAGTCGGAGCAAAGCTCCGGTGAGCTGGGTGGGCAACCAAAAAACTTACTTAGAGACTAGTTAATTATCAATATTTTAATTTTATTCTTATTTAATAGTGATACAGATTGGATGTTGAGAAAGGAGATATGTGTAACGGATTTGAATAGAAGAAAAATGAAAAAAAAAAATTAATTCAAACAAATTTAACGAGTTAACTTCCTTTTCTTAGCTCCAGTGAGATGTTTTGACTTGCTACCTTTTTATAAGATCTCATTAACAAAATTACACGGCTTAAAAAAAAACAGTTAAAATTAATTAAAACTAATAAATATGTAAAAATTAAACCTCTATTTATGTAGAATAAAAATAATCATGTGAGTTGCAACAAAATGCTTAAAACAAAATTTTCTGTAGACCAGCTCTTGGAACAGATAAGTAAAGCCCGCTCCGTCTTCAACCAGCCTTCGGTTCGTCCCAGTTCTACCGAAACAACTGCTCAGTGCTCACCACAAAATTATTTACTATCCATTCATTGAAAAAATGTAAAAACATTACAGGTCCTAATTATTAAAAAAAAAATCAATATCTAACTCTTCTTTTTTATACTGGAAAAAAAATTACGCATGAAAATTAGAAATAATCCATGCTAAGATTACTGCGCTAACGGCTTCACTTGAAAATGATTCTTCGACTAAACGATCCCTTTCGCCCCTTTCGTAATTTAGGTGACAAGAGGCTGAAGGTTCGAAAATTTGGAATGGAAATATGAGTTGCTATCAATTATTTGGCACCGCACAAATGATCATCTAACACTGACCTCATAACACCAGGAAATGACCAGCCTATGTCTGAATAATCACAGAAAAGTACCTCTCCCAAAAGTTGAAAGATCGAAGAGGGTATAGACCAATTAAAAAACCAACAAAAACACAAAAGCCTCATGATTTTTAAAAGGCTTCAAAGTATGCTAAACATTGTCTCTCCATCGTTCCAGAATTTATTCCAGACGGAAATTTCCACGATGATATCAATGGTGTTCATCTTCGTCGTCATCGCCATGCCCATCAGGTGGTCCTCCGGGTCCCACCACTTCCAGCTGTTTAAATACGAAGTAGAGTCATTAGTGCCATTATGCAGTAGAGAAGCAAAAGTTGGACCCATGTTAACAGGGCCAATGCCCTAATACCCACTGGCCGCATTTTTTCAGATAACATTTACTACCAATCTCTATGGAACCAAAATAATAAAAAGACATGCTATGAATTCATCTTGTAAAGGGAATCTGGTACCATTAACGCCTTATTATGCATGTACAATTGTCCTCCTTACATCTCTTAACATAGGTCCCAAATTTCAGCTTTCCCCACCAAATATTAGTTCCAATACAAAATTCTAGGTATAATTAATACTTATGTCCAAAAATACCCCTCATGTAGACTCATTTTGTACACCTCAATCTTCTTTGTCCCACTCATTTAATATTTTTCCCCATGTTACCCTCATAAATTTCACAGTTTTTCTCACCCATTTTGTCCTCCGCATCTAAATGCCCTCATTAAGAGAGGTATTTGAGGAAAAATGACACATTTTTTACACAATGATGGTAAATAACCAACTTAATCAATTTTCTTAATGTCCATAAAGTAGTTAACTATGTCTTGTACTTAGGACTGGAGGGGGTATCACATAGATTTTGGTATTTCCTCGGATTGTGAGTTTTACAAAATTCGGACCTCTATTAAGGGACAGGTAAAATATCTAATGTAGATATATATATATGTATATATATCATAGTATGCCTCAGAAAAAGACACCAAGTAATTCATAATTCAAGTCATTAATAACAGTTGCAGGGGGTGAAAAAACATATTTAGGTAGAACTTTAATCAATTAAGGAGGCCTAACTACTGAACATATGCTTCATGGGCCTGTTTCCCAGTTACTGACTTACTCCGTAAGTAGATATGGTCTGAGCTGGCCTTAAGCTAAATAGAAATTTCATTCAATTTCAAATCAGGCTGATTCTATCACTATATTGTACGACATAAGGTCAGAAAGTTGACTTAAGATAAGCAGCCTAAGTTTATTAACCGCAAAGATAAGCAGTGGCCCATGGAATTGATGCTCAGGGAGCCATTTTGTTATTGCAACTAATAAAGATTCCATTTTCCCTTGCACAAAAACTCAAAGAGTTGAGATATATAATGCCTGTCATACTCCTCTTATTATTACTTAACAGTAATTCTCTTTTTATCAATTTTTTATTAAGGGGCAAAAAAGGCATTTGCCATCTATAAATTCATTTTCTTTATCTTGTTCCATTCGGTGTACTGAATGTGGACAAGGGAAAGTTAGTTAGCAAACACAGGTGTCTTTAACCTATACTCAATTCCAAAATATTATCAAGGATAAGATTAAATGATACGTTAAACGTCAATCCAACTTACCACAAAATACTGTGAGCAAACTGGACATTCATGGGGCTTGCCTTTTTCCAGCCAAAACCAGACTACATCATGCTCATCCTCTGCAGACAAGACAAGTTGTTCACCTCAATGCAATCACCAGATTATACTACTTTTATCAACTAGTGAAGATGAAGAAACATAAGAAGCACCTACCGCCTTCACCTCCTGGGCATCCAACTATTCTTTTGTCATAGTAAGACTTGATGACAGCAGGTGCTTCCTACGAAACAAAGCTAATGATGAAAATAGATAATGTTGAAACATATTTTAAATCATCATATTTAATGAGTCAAATGTAAATCTGAAGCCAACATAAACCTGAAAGCAAAATTTCCACTTTTGGCAAAGAAGAAAGAAACAGGTATTTAACAGTTTCACAGTAGACATCTGTTTGTCAAATAAAAAATGAAAAAGAAAACAGCAAGAAGCTTAACAATGCCTGGATAAACTCAAAATTCAGAACCTATCCAATAGGCAATTAATAAGGGCTGGACAATCCCTCAGCAAGAGGTTTAAGAGTGCCATTACTTGTCCTCAGCAAAATGCGATGTTGATAATTTCTCCTAATGAAGACCAGAACGTCAGCTGTTAGCAACTAAATCTGAAAATATCCAGATGTCTATATATTCCTCCTGTCCTTAATATAAGACCCATTTAAGTAATTTGACTAGATTAAGAAAGTTAGGTACGTTAGTTAATTATAAGAAATGTGACACGTTTTTCCTAAAATACCATAATCATCTTTCTTAATACCTCCTCTTCCTCTTTTACTTGATTATGGTTGAAGAAGTATTTATAGGGGTAATTTAGAGAAAATTGATAAATATAAAAAGGGTCTCATATTTAGGACCAAAATCAACTCAACAATTAGTCCTATATTAAAGACCGGAGCAATATGTTGTTATCATTCTTAATTCCACTTCATCATCACTTATTCACTTTAAAAAAACCAAGAAAAGAGATGATTAGCATTTCCAATGATAAGGAATTAACCAAAGTTAGTTAACTGAATTTAAGAAGACCGGATAGGATAAAAAAGAATTTATATATAGATATATGCATCAATGGTTTTACACTACCTAGCTGCCATTTGTGCTCTTGGGCATATGTTGATATAAAATAAGAAGAATTTCCAATGACAGAGGAGTATTCAAAGATAGTTAATTGAATATGTTCAGAATGAACAGGGTCAAGAAAGATTTGTATCTAAAAGTACGCATCACTGGTTTCACAATACCTTGCTACCATTGTGTACATTAACCATACATTAATAAAAAGAAATTACTACAAACATAGATATAATAATTTTATGAATAGTCAGGCTCCTAAAATTCCGGTTAGGAGTGTATTAATAAAAAGAAATTACTACAAACATAGATATAATAATTTATAATAGTCAGGCTCCTAAAATTCCGGTTAGGAGTGTCTTAATTTGCATGGAAATAGAATATTAAAATGGCAAGGATAAGGATTCTCCTAACTGAAGAAGGTACAATACAGGCTTCAGAAACTAAAGTGCCACTATACATTTAGAATGAATCAACCAATGGATTATCACCTAACATCTGGGATAATTAACAGAGATGAGAACCATAGGCTTTTTACGTGAAAATTTAATGCCTCTTATTAGAAAGGTTCCGTGATACAAACATTAAATGCATTTTCCAAGACGAAATTACTAATTAAGATTAGTTGTGAGGAGATAATTGGAAGGAGAAAAGAAAAACAGATGTTTAAAACCAAAATCAATCATTCCTCCAAATATATAGGACATAACAAGGTCAATGATTCAACACACAGCGTTAAAAGAATCCATAGTATTATTTTCTTTTGCATAACTTATTTTGAGTACAAAGTCAGTGGCATGGTAACAAGCTACAAAAAAGCGGTTTACAATAAAATGCTGACTACTAACCTTTGTGCCAAAAGGACCTTCGGGATAGTCTATATCGAGAAGCTTCCTTCCCTACTCAAAACAGACAGATGAAAAGAGAGAATTATTGCTCATAAGTTTAAACACCAAAAGTTATTCTATAGAGAAACTAGCCATCGGATAAATTAATAAGACCCAACCGAACCGCCCCATCAATTAGAATCAATGTTTGAACCAATTTCTGAGTATCGAACTAGCAAGCCATAAATAAAGACGTCCTTTGAAACAGTGGGAAAGAGCCGGGAAGAGACGCTCACCTCAAGCTCGGCCTCAAGCTCCTCGCGCTCATGCCCAGTAGCTATAGGCATTACATCCTCGACCTTCTTTTTAACCACATTATCCCCTGTAAATCCAATAATATCAAAACACGTAAATAGGGAATTAAGAAACGGAGAAAATCCCAACCGAAAAAATTAAACGGCAAGAATGCCCACCAGACTCGGTGCTGAAGTGGCGGCTGAGAAAATAGGACGATGGAGAGAGACGAGAAGAAATTGTTGAAAGTGAATCCGGCGGCGATGGGGCAGATCGGGAAGGAGAAGCGGAGAGTGTAGCTAGGGATTTAAGGTGAGAAGAGACTCTCCGCCACATGTTCAGATGTAATGGTTGAAGAACCCTAAATTAGTGTTTTTTGATCTCCAGTCACGCCCTGCGGAGTGGCTGGAAGACGGAGATTGAAGACAGTTCAGTAATGGAGGCTGCGACTCAACTTTTTGGGGGAAAATGGTGGCGACGATGCTCCCTGGAAGCGAAGGGTACTAGTGCGCGGGTGACCGCTCGCCTCTCGGGTGGGGCTCGGCTGTAGCGTTGACTCACACGTGATAAGTTTGACTTACGTGTGAGAGTTTATTTTATTTTAAAAAATAAGTCAAAAGTAATTAAAAACCCTGATATAAAACAAAAAAAAAAAAACTAATAAACCCCAATAACAACTTAAGCTATTTGTAATAAAAGTTTCAAAGTAGTAAATGACAATGTCTTGAACTTATTTTATAATTATTTTACTGTCTTGAACTTATTTTATAATTATTTTACTTTATTAGAATCTTATTGTAATTCACTCTTTTTTCACTTGTTTGTAATATATTTTTAGTCATTTTATATATAACTAAAAACATTTTTACACATAAGCAAAGAAAAGTTGCACCTATTGAACATAAATTGCACTCAAGTTTTAAAAACAAATTGAAGGTACCTTTGAGCAATAAATTGTGCAATGTGAATTTTTCAGCAATTTTTTCCATAGTCAATTATATTATATAAAAAGATAAATTCAAAAGAAATAGTAACATGCAAGACACTATCACCCAATCGACACCAACTAATAAATTAGAAGTTTGTACATTTATATTATAATTGTCTCTAAATTGGAAAATTACTATCAGGTCCCAAACAAAGAATTTAATAACTCAAAATATTGTGAACAACCGAAGAGCAATTAAAACATGTAATGACAAGTTTTATTAGAGAAAACAAGATCAAATTTATGTTGCTTTCATTAGAACTTTCTGGTAACTATTGAATTCTTTTCTTGAGATCTTATAATAATTTTCTATAAATTTAATCAAGTGGTTTATATTAAGCACAAAAAAAAAACCTATCCATTTCTGCCTATAAATAAGATTAGAGAAGAATAAAGGACAAAAGATAAACAAGAGGATATGGAACTTTTTTTTATTATTAAATTTTCAGTATTGTTTCTCTTCTCGTAATTTAGTTTCTTTACACTCCTACTCTATCTTTTGCATCATCTGAAGAGCCATGAACCTTGCGAGACAATTGGATAGAGGCAGAGTAGATATCATTCAAAATGGCATAATGCACATAATATTTTTTAATCAATAACCATAGAAATACACTTTTGGCCAAAAGAATATATTCCTCCGATTCTAAATATAAGACCTTTATATACACTATATAAGGGTCTTATATTTAAGACCAGAGGAGTACAAACATTGTCACAGCTAATACTGAGAATTAGACTGACCCTTAAAAACTTATCACTACTACGACTATACTGGATAGCATTTAATCTCACTGACATCAAGAAAGTTGGAACAACCTATTGCTTTTGTTATTTACAAAAACAAAAACTCAATAATTTGCACACTGTTTTAATTTTAAGTACTCTATACTATTTATTGCACTCGTTTTAGTGCATGCATTAAATAATAGCGTGGATATATGTCTCTACAAAAAAAAAAAAAAATTGGCATGGGATTGTGAAGCTAGCAGGCAAAAATTCAATGACTACGAATTCATTATCTCCATACAAGGGACCAATGGTTTGAACAATTCTCAGTGGACACATCATCATATAGAAATTAATCAAGGAGAATCTAAGCTCATCAACTGATGAATGGGCGCACGATGCAGGGGGGAATAAGAAATGAAATAACAGAAATTTCAAAGAGAATGCAGAAAAACAGAACTTGAAGAACAAATTTGCTGATGAACATAATTCACGATCCTTAGTGCATTCATTACAAGAGTACATATAAAACATAAAAACTCATACAAATAGTCACACTTCTCCTGGCACAATTATCACAAGAATTTTGGAAGGCTATAACGAAGTATATATCATAGGCTAATTGGTGAGCTTTTGAAAGTGAAACACCTCAAGATTCACAGTTAATACAATTAAGGATGTCTAAGATAACGAACACTCAACAATTTGACATCATCAAGAACAGGTCCACAAAGCGAGCCATCAATCTTCATGCTATAAAATGAGCTAAAGAAGGTGATGCGAGTGCGAGAGGACACTGCCTTAAACCGAAGCCTCCCTCTTGTGAACCCTCCTTTGCCCTTCGAATCATAAGAAACCTTCACAGTTTCTGTGCCTACAAATGCCTCCACAGTCATGGAGCCTTCACAAGCGTTGTTTGCGTCGCCCACAGCAAATGACAGATCATAAATCTTGCCAGTCTGTGTTCTGACAATTTGTGCAATGGCACTCTCTTTTCCTGCAACAAACTCAATGGCTCTTTTGCCCTTAGGCACAGAGAAGTGATCAGAGTCTAGGTACTTCACAGACTTGAGAGACTCTACTATCCATCCTGGTAAAGGGCTGTGAGGATCATCCATGTTGGGTGGGATCAGGACCCCACAATTTGTGTTTGGGAACACATATGGACCGTCCTCAAAGTCCCCATTTTTCAGCAAATTCCCTGAAACACACAGTGCAAAACAAGCAGTGTTTAGTTAAATATTGTCATTAGAAGCCGGTGTTTAGTGAAAGAATCGGACTTGAAGTTATTTAAGCTGTCAAGTTTTTGTTACCAAATTGCATAAAGAAAATGAGGAAATCCCTGTGTAACTTCTAAACATTATTATCAAGTTCTCTTCTAGATTAAAACATTTTAGTGTGATTCATAGTAATGGACAGATTTATATGTAAAACCTGACAATAAACATAGTTTTACTGAATATTTTTCCCCCCTTACTGTTTGGGTGTTGTAAATAAAAAAAGTGATAATGTGTAAATTTCAACAACAGCGAGTTTTAACTTAAAAAATTCTTGAAGATAAAGTTATATAAATAAGGAAATGAGAAATAGAACACTTTGCCCCTTGCCACTCTCTTCTTCTTTGGATACTTTCCCTTCCCTCCCTCTAATTAGCCCCCAAATGCATCCCAATAATTAACTCTCTCTGAGTTTTTATCCTTCATAAAATATAACACACGCATAGACCCCTTTTTCCTTAAAGGAGAAATAAAATTTTCGGAGTAATGTCGGAAAGGAATCAATGGAATGCCTTGAAAATGCAACCCACGCACACACACATGTCATCATAACTCTAATTCAAACTTGTACTAGAGGTTTTAACAGCGAAGGCGCAAATACGATGGTTAAGTTTTTGGCCATTGAGGGAGTTTACCATTTGTTCTCTTAGAATGGTTCAAGACCGCCAAGGCAACAGAGTCAATAACAGGTCCACAAGCAGGATGTTCGTCCCCACCAGTATTGTGGATGACAATCTCCACTTCTGGGTGATCTGCTTTGAACCCACAAGCATAAAAATCCCATCCATGGCTACTATGCACTGTTTGAATGGGAAACACGCCCCAGTTCCTCTTTTCACTCGTGGGAGTGACAGATACGTTAATCTTCTCGTCTTGTGCACACGTACGACCTGCACTGAACGTTATGGAGTAGTACATTCCCTTCACAAGCTTCACTTTCTGCATAATGGAAGCTTCATTTCCAAGCCTCACAGCAGAGTCTCCCTCAGGCACAATCACCATCATGTCACCTTGTTTGTGGCCTGATCTTATGTATTCAACGAACCCAGAAATGGTCCATTCGGGTATGGCGTCGCGAGCTGTGACTACTTTGCCCTTCAGTTGTGATGGCTTAGGACCAAGCTCGAAGTTGCCATTGGGAAGCAGACCTGAAAATATCAGCAGGAAAATAAAGCAAAAATAGTGAGTAGTCTTCATTGGGTAATTTGTCAAACACATAAGAATCTTTGAGCTTTTCATTGATCACGAATAAAATGGATTCACAGGTAATTACCATCAGTGATGGAAAAAGTGATGGGGAAGGTTGCTAAGAATAGCAGCAATAGAAATTCAAGCTTCTGCATTCTGATACGCTCAAACTGAACAGTCGTGAATCAATGAAAGTCCACAAAGGGAGAAAGAGAATGCCGTGGGCTGATCAATGGGTGAGGGTGACAGAGGTTTATATTTGAGTTGGTTGATGAAAATGCCATTGAGATTGAGATGAAACTATGAGAATGCCACCGGAAGGATCCCAAGTTGTTATGGAACATGGAAAATTGGCAATTCCCATGAAGAAGTGGCGTTGTATGTGGAAGACATATTTGGATATTAATATGTCTTGGTGCTTCAACGAAAATAAGATAACAAGTGCGACTTGTTTTTTGGGTCTTCATAATCAATATTAAAATACCAACTCATGTGGGCATGAATGTGAGTCAACGCTCCCAGCAAGCTGCTTTTTTTTTTTTTTTGCGGTAAGCTGCTTGATGACACCAAAAGTTTTTTTTGGGGTTCAACTATTTAATGTTGTCCCAAAAATGTTAAAATAGAGCAATATTATATTTTACCATTAAATTAAAAATATTAACAAACATTAGTTTTTCAATGGTTAGTACAACATTGTTACATTTTGAAACTTTCGGAGTTACATTGAAGTCAAAAATATTTTTAGGACAATATTTATTCTGAACGGAAACTTTCAAAGTAAATTTATATTTTTACCCATATTTGTTATAGCATCTAATAAAATTGGACTTCTATTGAAAGGAGAAAAAAAAATTAGCATGGCCCCATTCAAGGATGATATGCATAAATGGAGAAAATTAGTTTTCTGATAAAATAAGGGCCATATGCAGTCATGAAAGGATGTGATTTTGTATTTTTTTTAATAAAATTTTCAAATAAAAATGCAGTAAAATTTTGCGTCATTTTTTTAAAAGTCACAAAAAAGACAACAGTATCAAAACGTGCTTATTTTGTTTAAGAGCTAATAATCACCCCCCCCCCCCAAAAAAAAGATGAACGGAAAAGGGAGACAATAGTTAGAGCGTCTGGCCCAATCCCAACTAATACTACTAGCTCCTGGCCTCTTGTTTGTCTTTCTCAATCTTTTTCTTCTAGCATTTGATTTCTAGCATCTATATATGTGAAGTAAACTTAAGGGAAATTTCATATGGTTTTCACTTACTTAAAATTAGTTCATAAACCATGACTCCGCATAATTCAATTAAGACCCAATCTCTAAATTTTAACTTAGTACAATATAATTCTGTCCATATAATTCTAAGGGGAAATTGCAAAAAAAGACCTTGAAATTGTAAAACGCAGATAGGGACCCTTGACAACTTCACTTTGGGTTTGACAAGAATAATATGCCCTGAAGTTGTCAAAACCCAAAGTGAAGTTGTCAAGGGTCCCTATCTGCGTTTTGTAATTCCAAGGTCTTTTTTTGCAATTTCCCTAATTCTAATTGTTTAAAGCATTAGTCCCTAGAAAATAATTTTAGTCTTTATAGTTTTATTTTGGTTTTAAAATGTGAATTTACTCATGGAGTATTTGTGAATGTGCATCAGGCGTTATAAATTTTTTTTGGATACAAAAATACATACAAAAATTTCAAAATGATGCCAAAAAATATCACATCCCCTAAGGGCTGTTTGGTTTGAGGTGAGGGGAGGGGAGGGGAGGGGAGGGAAGGGAGGGAGGGATAGGGGAGGGGAAAGGAGGTTTCATCCTCACCTTGTTTGGTTTGATTAAAAAAGAGGGAGGAGAGGGTATTTAATGATCCCTTATTTGGTTCAAGGAGAAGAGGGAAGTGATAGTAACGATCAATTTACCATTTTATCCAGACATATTAGTTTATATTTTTTATTGATATATTATATAAATTAATTTACATCTTAATTTAAATCATATAATTTAATAAAAATTAAGTCTTATCATGTTAATATGTGTATTAAAAAATTGGTACAGTAATTTTTTATTTTAATTAATATAATAATATATTTAAAATAATCAAATTAACAAATTTTATATACTCTAAGAAAAATGAAATTTTATTCTCTTTAGGCTATCTTTTTTTCCAGATTTAAAATATATTTAATAAATAATATATTTATAAAAAACAATTAATTTTATAATATTATAATTTTTTATTTAAATAATTTTTATAATATATTTTTAATTATAATAATGTATATTTTTTTTATTTTTTTTACTTAGGATAATATATTTTTTATTTGAAATAAATATTATAATAATATATTTTATGGGTAGAAATGGAATATTAAAAAAACTATAAAGGGCATAATGGTCCAAAATTTTAGCTCCCCTCCAAAAACCCCCAATTTGGAGGGGAGCCAAAATGGGGGCAGGGAGGGGAGGGGAGGGCCCTCCAAAATTTTTAACCAAATGAGGTGAGGGGCTCATTTTCCCTCCCCTCCCCTCCCCTCCCCTCCCCTCCCCTCCAACCAAACGCACCCTAAGGTCCATCAATTTTTGTGGGCCCACATTATTGTACAAGTGTGAGGGGAAAAAAAAACCTACTGTATGTCAAGTCATATTAACGGTTATATGACATTTTCATATTATTTTGAAACTAATAAAATTTTATAGTTCTTGGTGTACATTTGAAAATATTTTATAAGTAGATTTGTAGTTGAACTATTTTATTTTTTAACATATAGATATTAATATTTTTACTTGTTAAAATTGCAAGGATAATCTGCACCGAATCAGAAGTTAAGAATTAAATTTTAATAAATCAAAATTATAGGAACTAAATTTTAAATTTTAACCAAGTCAAAATTAGTAAGACTAAGCTCTAAGAGAAGCATTTACATGTCATCAAAAATAAAATAATACTAAATGAATCTATGATGAAGTTTATAGCCAACAGACAACGGACAGCGTAGTTCCTTCACTTTCCTTGTGTATGTATGATTATCTCACGGCAAGGAGAACTACCTGTTGAAATATACATAAGACAATTATATTATATTACACACACACACACACACGCATATATTTATACACATAAACATGTATAGAAAAATAATACTGATATCTAGGACTGGAGGAGTAAATCATTTCACCAAGAGAAAATACTACTTCCGGTGCTTGGTATAAGAGTTAGTTGACTAATTTAGTAGATTAAAAAGTTTTTTAAGTTAGTTATTTGTAATAAATAGATATTATTTTTCTCAGAATACATTTACTAATCAAGTATATTAATTATAACTACCATTACTACAAAACTATCTTTAAAAAAGTGGATAAATATGAGAAACAAAGTGAATTTGAATCTTATATTTAAAATCAAAATAAAATCAAACGAATTCTTATACTAAAGATAGAAGGTAATAATAAACAATATCAGTATTAATAACAATTATCAATTTTATACATGATTGTACATTTTATGTCAGCTGGTCAACTCTGCACGTTCTAGAGTAATCAACTTCTATGCGCCCATGTCAAAAGCAAAAAAAATACATACATAGATATATATATATATATATATATATAATAACGTAAATATTGGTTTAGTAACAGCCTCTGTGTCCTAAATATAAAACTCATTTTATAATATAATTTACACTACAAAATTAGTTTTATATTTAAAACCGGAAGAGTACCAAATAAAATTATGATTTCATTGGAGCACATAAACATAAAGGATTTAATTAGAGTCCTCCACTAATAATCAAGTGAAATCACTATTTTATCCTTGAAGCTTCATCATGAAATACAAATAGAGCCTGAAGCCCGAGATTGGTTTGTCTAAAATATGAGGATGTAAATTTCAATAAATATAATAAGACATTAACAAATAAAAATCCGTATATTTTAATGACATATTGGATGAGAAGCAACAAGGTCTCGTTATCTCATATACAACTGGGATATAAAATTTTTGCCCCCAATAAGAGTTATTTATATATAGCCCATGTGTCTTCCTGAAGTTGCTGAATTGTAATTTTATTTAATTTATTTTTTGCTAATTAATAATAATGTCGGCAATAAATATAAATTTTTATGACATTGGTATCAAGAATACGACATTAAATTAGACGTAATATGAACGATAGTTTCAGTTTTTGTATGAACATTAGGAAGCAATTATGAACACAATCACATGCGATATATTTGTGTATGTCGCTTTAGATTCAAACAATGGGCATGAATTAATATTTCGTTTTAAATAAGTAAGTAAAATTCCATTTGATTTTTTGTCCCTCTCGTTTAATTAAAGTAAGTTATTGATTATGTTGATAGAATTCTACAAATTAAGTTACATTATTTTTATGCTTAAGCGAAATATCATTATTGATTACATTGATTATGTGTTTTTTTGGCCAAAATCATAATCTTATGTTTTCACTATAATATGATAATAGAAAATATGTGGGCTTTGAATTCTACTAAAGATATGGTGATTTTTTTTTGGCCATAAGTTGAATGTGTTTTTCCCCCCATAAAAAATGCACATTTAAAGTGAAGCCTACTGTAATTTTGATGACCTTTAGATAGCAATACAGTGTTAAAAAAAATCCTTAATTTTATATTTTATTGGAAAAATTATAAAAAAAGACTTTGGAATTGTAAAAACGCAGATAGAGACCCTTGACAACTTCACTTTGGGTTTTAACAATAATAATATGTCATAAAGTTGTCAAAACATAAAGTAAAGTTGTCAAGAGTTCCTATCTGCGTTTTTACAATTCCAAGGTCTTTTTTTTTTTTTTTGCAATTTCTCCTATTTTATTTATGAAAATGTCATCGTTTTTACTTTCTGATTAACCAGTATAACAACTACGTGGTGGAAATACTACTTTTGTTTTGTTTTAGTTAAAAAATGCATCAAGGATTTATTTTTCTTTTCTTAAATAAATCCCTTTTTTATGAATCTTTTTGCTCATCACCAATTAAGGGCTTGTTTGCATTTGCCATTTAGAACTACTCATAAGCATTTTTATGGCGACCAAGGTAAAACCCATCTAACATTTCAAACAAGCCCTAAATTAGGCATTATTATCTTCTTCTTTTTTTTTGCTACAAAAATTTTAGATAGGAGTTCAAATTCAACCCAAACCAAGGACAAGGCGTTTAAATGGCTCCTCTTAAGTGATATTAATGTTGAGCAGGGTGAACCTATATTATACTCTCAAGTGTAAACCTAGGCACTCTCATTCTAGAATGTCTCCTCAAACACCATGGGGAATTGAGCCCCCTCCTTTTTGGATGAGAGGATATTGTTCCTACTGCTGAATCACAGACGATGGGTAAATTAGGCATTATCATCCTCCAACGTTGTTTTAATTTTTTAGCGTGAGACTATTGATTTTTTAAAGGATTATATGTCCATCAAATGGGCCAAAACATGGGCCTTTTACCTAAGAAGTTGGTAGGGAACAAGTGCTTTATTACATCCCTGATCCAAGGATCCGCCCTGAGGACCTTATTTAAAATAAATTGCAATGAACTTAATTGGAACACAACTCGTGAACATAAAAAGTGATTATATCATAGTTACACGCAAAAAAAAAAAAGTCATTATATCATAGAGAAGCAAAAGAAATTAATGCTGTACTATTTTCCCCCTTATATCCAAGAGTTTGGCTAACTAAATTCTTTATGATAAAGTTTTTCATAAGACAAATTGAATAATTATAGCATACTATTCTTTCTTACTAAATTTTTATGGTATTGAATTTTTTTAGTAAAATTTAGGTGTTGTAGTTGTTATTCCTTTGTCTTCTGTTTCTTCAAATCTTTCATTTTACTGCTCTCCTTTTAGTCATGTACTAAATATAATGTTATTTTTTTCTTAATATCATTTAATCTTTTTATTAAAAAAATAGGCATCAAAAGATTTTTTTTCCCTAGAATTCTGTAAAGTGTGAATATGAAATGGAGAAATTGATATGGTTATCTTTAAAAGTACACATAGCATCCTAGAGGACCTAAATCGATTTAGTTTAGCAATTCGACATCATCTAAAATACATACAAAACTTAAAAACTCAATTTTTTTTCATTAAGCATAAGTATTCCCCTAATGAAAGTTTATATAAGGCATTCTTGAAAACTAAATATGAGTACTTCTCCAGAGGAGATTTAAACTCTAGTTTGCTACACTGTGAAAAACTAGCTTCTTTCACTAAATCCAAATCTCAGCGGTGATCCTATAATGCTTTTAGTTTTATTATTATAAAAGTTCTGTAAGACTATAACAAGTATATATATCATAGGGTAATTGGTGAACATCTGAAAGTGAAACAGCTTAAAATTCACAGTGAATCCAATCAAGGGTGTCTAAGATAACGAACACTCAGCAATTTGACATCATCAAGAACAGGTCCACAGAGTGTGCCATCGGTCTTCATGCTGTAAAACGTGCTAAAGAAGGTGATGCGAGTGCGAGACGATACAGCCTTGAATCGAAGCTTCCCTGTTATGAACCCTCCTTTGCCCTTAGATACATAAGAAACCTTCACAGTTTCTTTGCCTGCAAATGCCTCCACAGTCATGGAACCTTCACAAGCGTTATTTGCATCTCCCACAGCAAATGACAGATCATAAGTCTTTCCAATTTGAGTTCTGACAATTTGTGCAATGGCACCCTCTCTGCCTGCAACAAGTTCAATGGCTCTTTTGCCTTTAGGCACGAAGAAATGATCAGAGTCTATGTACTTCACAGACTTGAGAGACTCTATCATCCATCCCGGTAATGGACTGTGAGCATCCTCAATGTTGGGAGGAAGCAGAACCCCACCATCCGTCTTTGGCAACACATATGGTCCTTCTTCAAAGTCTCCATTTTTCAGCATATTTACTGAAACATACAATGAAAAACAAGCAATTCAGTTAACCATCGTTTGCTAGATATAAATCAATGCATTAGTAGAGGCTTAAAACTCTCTATCCCAAATTTGAGCTATGGATGTCCATATGAGAGAGTTTAGCTGTTTAATTAAACTTCATCAGACTCAGAATTTACCATTTGTTCTTCTAGGTGGGTACAAGGACTTGATGGCAACGGAGTCAATGATGGGTCCACAGGCAGGATGTTCTTCCAAACCAGGATTATGGATCACAATCTCCACTTCTGGGTAATCTGCTCTGAACCCACAAGCGTAAGAATCCCATCCCTTGCTGCTATAAACTGTCTGGATGGGAAACACGCCCCAATCATTCTTGTCATTTGTGGGAGTCACAGACACATTGATCTTCTCGTCTTGTGCACATGTCCGACCTGCACTGAACGTTATGGAGTAGTACATTCCCTTCACAAGCTTCAACTTCTGTTTAATGGAAGCTTCATTCCCTAGCCTCACAGCCGTGGCTCCCTCAGGCACAAGAAGCATCATGTCGCCTTGTTTCTGTCCTGCTTTTATGTATTCAACGAACCCAGAAATTGTCCATTTGGGTATGGCGTTGCTTGCTATAACTTCTGTTCCCTTCATTTGTGATGGTTCAGGGCCGAGCTCAAAGTTGCCATTGGGAAGCAAACCTGAAAAGTTCAACCATGTAATATAATAAAATAGTGAGCACTCCTCACTGGGGTAATTTATCAAACACATTGGAATCCTGAGTTCTTCACTAATCACAAATATATATATATGTATATTGATTCAGAAAGGTTATTAGTAATTACCATCACGTAAAGAAAAAGTGGCATGGCATGTTGCTAAAAATAGCAGCAACACAAGTTCAAGCTTCTGCATTGTGAAGAAAGAATTGAACAGAGAATGAAAGGTCCACACAGAGAGAGGAGAAGGAGAAAGAGAAGGAGGTGTTGTAGAGATCAATGGATGAGGGTGACGATGGTTTATATTTACGCTGGTTTATGAAAATACCACTGAGATTGAGATGAAACTATGAGAATGCCACTGGAAAGATCCTAAACTTTTATGTATAACATGGAACTCTGGCAAGGGATTCTTTTAGAAAAGGTGGCGTTGTGTGGAAGAGACGATGTTAATATAATAATAATGCTGATCCCAAACAGATCACAGCCAATTGTATCACCAATGAACAGTGCCAAATGTTGTTTCTTGTATTCAAATTAAATGGAAACGGATCAGGATCTTTCTGAGAAGGTTGGGATGGGTCCAACTTTGTTGGGTCAAAATGACAACACCACCCTTCCCTACATTGAATTTGAAGAGTATAATAATCAGATAACAACTTCAAATCCCTGTAATTTAATGAATTATGGGATGAGAAGCAGCCAAATCTCATAATTGGGACATAAAAAAATGTGTCCATAAGATTTTTTTTTAATAACCCACGTGTAATTCTGAGATTCAGATCAAGTGTGTCTTCCTTCTGCCTACCAAATAGCAGCTAATATGTAATTTTATATATATGCTGATGATATTTTAGTATTAACTAACTATAAACTAAAAATCATGTTGTTGCATGGAAAGACATATTTATGAAAAAAATTATATAGTAAAACCCACTATTTTTGACATAAAATATAGGGAAAATTCCAGAAAAGGTCCCTCGAATATATGAAATCCCAGATTGGATCCTGGAATTTCCAAAATGACAGAAAGTGTCAGTGACCCAATCTGTCATTTGTAAAATTAAGACCAATTGACAATTTTGCCCCTGACTAAGTGAATAGTTATTCTCTACACAAATATAGGTAACGCTTACACTGTTCTAGTGATTACAATATTAGTTGTAGTTAATAATTACAAGATTAGTTGTAGTTAATAATAAGGTACCTGATTATGAAAAAATGAGTAGTTATTCTCTACACGAATCTAGGTAATACTTACATTATTCTAGTGATTACAAAATTAGTTGTAGTTAATAACAAGACACCTGAATATGAAAAAGCGAGTAGTTATTTGCTACATGAATCTAGGTAATGCTTAAACCCTTATAGTGATTCCTTAAATCATTGTAGTGAATGAATACAAATAAGGGCAAAATTGTCAATTCCTCTTGATTTGCCAAATGACAGATTGGGCCACTGACCCTTTCTGTCATTTTGGAAATTCCATGACCCAATTTGGGATTTCATATATTCAAGGGACCTTTTCTGGAATTTTCCCTAAAATATACTCCCTCCGTTCCTTATTATAAGAGACAAATAACCAAATTACGTTGATAAAAAGAAACAGTTAAAATTAGTTGAGAACAATTAATATGTAAAAAGTATAATATTTTTTCCAACAATGCCCTCATTAATAAGGAGAGAGAGTATGAAAGAGAACAATTAAATTATTAAAAGAAAGAGAAGTGGGAGGGATAGAGAGTATGAGTTGGAGACAAAATAAATAGGGGTAAAATAGGAAATCAATATAAAAAAAATAGAGACAACTTTTAAGGGTCTCTTATATATGGGAACATACCATAAGCATCAAATGTCTCTTATAATAAGGAATGAAGGGAGTATAATTTTATCATCATCATCATCATCATTGTTATTATGCCACAGAACAATATTCATGCCAAATATCTGAAATTATATTACTATATTCAAAAGCCAAACACATCATATCAATTTCATATTCAATTTATAGATTAACACATTACATAGAATGATGGGGCACAATGATATTAACAAAATAATACTCCCTTCGGTCTTGAATATAAGACCTATTTTGTAGTATAAATAGACCCATTTTATAGTGTAATTTACACTACAAAATGGGTCTTATATTTAGGACCCGATGAGTATAATTTCATTAATTGTAAGATTGTTAGGAAGCAACTAGAAACACAATCACATGTGGTGTTTGCTTTTATATATATATATATATATATATATATATATATGTGGCCTTAGATTCAAGCAGTGAGTTTGAATGTAATATTTCAATATTAATTAATTAGCCAAATTTCATTTTATTTTTTAATTTCTATTTTTAGTTAATTTGAAAAATCTTGGTGTTTTTGTATGGGAGAATTACTACGAAGTCTTAAGTAAAAAATCATAATACTAAAAAGTTTTAGTGACAACAAAACAATTAGTAATAATAAGTTTTAAGGTAATAAATGATAATTGCTTACTTGTTACTAGGACTTACTGATAATTATTTTTCTCTCTTGAAATCTCATTATAATTTTCTTTTTATTGTAGGTGTTGATGTGGACCAAGTTTGCGTTGCCTATTGCTGTATGTTAACGTAAAGTCCTCCTTTGGCAGGGATGGAACCATAGAAGGTCCTCTCAAGAAATGCCAGACATTTTTCTAATTAATTATATTAATTATTTAAGAATGTAAATCACAATTAAAATAAAAATAAACATAAATTATGTGAACCAATTTATCCCTCATTATGTTTCGGAAGATTTTTCAGCGAATATATTTATTTATGTTGTAAAAATTACTAAACAAATAAGTTGACATAAATATGTTACAAAAATTTTAAAATATGACTAAAAAGTTCTAAAAGATATTGCGTAAAAGTGATTTTTTTCATGTCTAATTTTTTTATAATATTTATGTTTAAGAAAAAGGTATTTTAGTTCAAAACATATTATTTAAGGGTCATCAATTCATGGTTGAATGTTGAAGTAGCTTTTGAAGATGAAAATAGAGTTTATAATGAAGGCAAACTAGAGGAGAGGTGAGTGTGTAGTTATTCTATACACATTAACACAATTATAAATACAATATACTTCAACACAAATATTTGTGATGTTTTTAACGTATGTGAAAATATATAAGCCATTGGATAAGTAGCAATAGTTGTAGACACACAATCCAGCTACCAATTATATGTTGTTCCATTATACTCTTTTGATCTTATTTATAAGTCACTTTCAATATGTTTTATACAAATCAATAAAAATTTTAAACTTCATTAATGCTCATTTAAAATTTAAGAACTTTTTAACTTTATCCCTATTTAGTATACAATATATACCTCATAAGAACAAAGTAACAAAATAATGAATAAAGGATAAAGTTGTATATTTATATAAAAATTTTCTCTCTCTATCCTATAAATAGGACCAAAAATTTTCTTTTCTTTGCTCTATAAACAGGTCTGGAGAGTATATGAAAACTAGAGCCTGCCTCAAGATTAAACCCTGAAGAACAGAGGCAGTTAGTTTGATAAATTAAACTACCATTCTCTCTGGAGTACATCCTGCCAAGGGACGTACTCCAACAACCATGCCACCTCTGAGTTGAAAAAAGGAATAGGTTTTGTTTTAGATGAAACTTTATTGATTTCTCTATGGGTGGTATTCTATATATTTTCTGATTTTTATGTTTTGTATTTAGGCTGTGTTAGAATGTTTCTTTTTCTGTTCTTTTTTCCTTCACAGGAAATTATTACTTTTGATAATTAATAAAACGAACTCTTTTTGCTAACCAAAAAAAATCACTAGTTACTTTTTTTAACAGAACCCCGCACATATGTATACTGTTGTAGTTTATGGGTGCATGTCAAAAGGAAGAGTTTCATATTGCTCAAAGTGAGGGAGTCCATATAATATATATATATATATATATATGTGTGTAATATATATGTGTGTGTGTGTGTAATCTTAGGCTAATAAATGAATCAAAAGAATGAGTAAACTCATGTCCATGACGATCAAGAGAATGAGTTGCTCAAAGTGATGGATACTGTTGTAGTTCGGTTTGACAAATGTCCGTTCTGCAAACTGTAAACTAAACATAATCTAACAAAACCATTCAGCTGGTTTCGGACTGGTAGACTGAAATTAAAAAACGAAATTTCAAGGGATTATCTATACATCAAATGGGTTCAAACATATGCCTCCGCACTCAGGGGTTGATGACAACCAATAACGTAGGATATTTATGATTGAATAAACGAATCAACTTTTGGAGTTACACATGGCTTCCAGATTCGAATTTAAAGATGCCTAAGATAACGAACACTCAGCAATTTGACATCATCTAGAACAGGTCCACAAAGCGAGCCATCAGTCTTCATACTGTAAAATGTGCTCAAGAATGTGATGCGAGTGCGAAACGATACAGCCTTGAATCGAAGCTTCCCCCTTGTGAATCCTCCTTTGCCCTTTGAAACATAAGAAACCTTCACAGTTTCTTTGCCTGCAAATGCCTCCACAGTCATGGAACCTTCACAAGCATTGTTTGCATCACCCACAGCAAATGACAGGTCATAAGTCTTGCCAGTTTGAGTTCTCACAATTTGTGCAATGGCACTCTCTCTGCCTGCAACAAGTTCAACGGCTCTTTTGCCTTTAGGCACAAAGAAATGATCAGAGTCTATGTACTTCACAGACTTGAGAGACTCTATAATCCATCCTGGTAAGGGGCTGTGAGCATCCTCCATGTTGGGTGGAAGCAGAACCCCACCATCAGTCTTTGGCAACACATATGGTCCTTCCTCAAAGTCTCCATTTTTCAGCAGATTCACTGAAATACACAATGCAAGACAAGAAATTCAGTTAACTATCGTTTATTAATTCAAAACAGATGTGTTTAATTAAACTCTGCAGCCCAAATTTGAGAGATGGATGTCCATATTAGAGTTTAGTTGTTTAATTAAACTTCATCGGACTCAAGAATTTACCATTTGTTCTTCTAGGAGGGTACAAGGCCTTGATGGCAACAGAGTCAATGATGGGTCCACAGGCAGGATGTTCTTCCAAACCAGGATTATGGATCACAATCTCCACTTCTGGGTAATCTGCTCTGAACCCACAAGCGTAAGAATCCCATCCCTTGCTGCTATAAACTGTCTGGATGGGAAACACG